ATGCAACCAGAAGACGGCCATCTGCAAACCAGGAAAATGGCCCTCACAGACACCGAACCCACCAGCACTTTGATCTTGATCTTCCCAGTCTTCAGAAGTGTGAGAAATAAATGTGTGTTACTTAAGTCAAGGAAACTATGGTACTTTATTCTAACAGCCTGTGCTGACTATGACGGTGGGTGAGTGGGAAACCTCTGTCCTCCTTCAGCACCTCCCGTCAGTACTGGTCTTGTGCTACTTATCCTTCTCACTTTAGGGGATGCTTTGTTCTCCCTCTTAGAGATCAAGTTTCTTGAGGACAAGCACCAATATTAGTACATCTGTACCTGGCTCAGTTCTTACATGTAATATGCTATTCAAAAATAAATGCAGGTTTAATTTTAAAAGTTGAGTTATTCTCTGTGCATTTTTCAACATTTAACTTACTTTTCCAATCTTTTCATCATTTTGGTGAGATACAAAGTACATAGAGTTTGGGAGCTGGAAGGTATGATTTCTGAGCAAATCTGTATATGAAACATAGTTTCTTCATATGTGTATATATATGAGATAGATAGATAGATAGATAGATAGATAGATAGATAGATAGATAGATAGATGATGGTACGTAGCATCCTGGCCACCTTTGAAAGAATAAATTAACTCCTTGCTTTGAAAATTCAAAAATAAAGGAAAACTTTAGCATTCATCCTTCTTTTTCTGTAAAAACTGAACCACTAGGTAATCATATGGCAGATATTTCTCTGTACAAACAAATAAATGATGACATGATGAAATTGGAATATCACCATTATTTAACCCCTAATAAATTAAAAATCTAAGCATTGAACAGAAATAGCTGCTGACAAAACAAAATGACATTATGTCCAAAGACTATGACACCACCTATGAAGTAGTTGTTCCTCATAAAGCTCAAAACTAAAAATGACTAAGCATCTATAATCTACCAGCAGTTGGCAGGAAATATAGAAGACTGAGGGAAACATTAAGCTTACCACAGGAATGCAATCAGCAAAATTCCCATTGAGTAAACTGCAAGACAAATGATCCAGTTTACACAAGGAACAAACTCGAAAGCTCAGGGAGGGATAGACGTTGGAGGAAGAACCCATGCATTAAAAGAGAACCCCAGAGACATATTAAGCAAACAAACAAAACCAGGCAGAGTTATACTATAGTATTTAGGAATGTATACTAGTAAAAAAAATTACAAAGCAAGGTACAGAGGTGATTATCATAAAATCAGGAAGGTGGTTATTCTGAGAGTGGGAGAGTTGGAAGAGGCACCTGGAGGGCTCCTGGTCTAGCTAGCAATATTTTGTCTTTCTATTTTAATGTTTGTTCTTAGAAAAGACATTTTTTTTTTGGTTTGAATGTGTTCCCCCAAGTTCTTGCATTGGAAATTTAATCCCCAATGCAACAGTGTTGAGAGGTGGGGTCTTTAAGAGGTGATTAGATCATGAGGGCTCTGATCTCATGAATAGATTAACACCATTATCATGGGATCAGGTTAGTTTTCACAGGAGTGGGTTACTGATAGAAGGATGAGTTCAGCCCCCCCCCTCTCTCTCTCACCCTCTTACCTTCAGCCATGGGATAATGCAGCAAGAAGGCCCTTGCCAGATCCCATACCTTGTTACTGGACTTCCCAGGTCCCAGAAATGTGAGAAATACATGTCTTTTCCTTATAAATTACCCAGTCTATAGTATTCTGTTGTAGCAACACAAAACAGACCAAAATAGGGCATTTGCCTCATAATAATGTCTTAAATTACATGTTTGTTTTACATCATTTTCTACATTTTTGGTATTTTAATAATAAAAGTTTTTGCTTTTTTTTAATGGCTGTTTTGCCTATTTCGCAGAGTTAAAGAAGTCTACATAAGCGCAATGTCTCATAAGTGCAGGAATCTCATCTTTCTCCATTGTCATATCTCCAGGGGCTAGACTGGCTCTTGGCACATGGTTGGACCAAATATGTATTTACCGAATGAATTAATAAGTGAAACTGTAGAATCAAATGCACACATACTGTCATATTCTGGTTATTACATAAACTTCAGCAAAATCACAAACTCCAGGTCATTGGGAATTTCGTGTGTCCTTCAGACAAATTTCCTCATACCCGTGTTGCCTGCTGTGAGGCCGCAAAAAAAAATAGGACCCTCAGAGGCTTCAGGCTGGCCACTGGCAGAGTGATGGCATCTAGTGATGCACAGCCTCCCTGGCTGCAGGTACATCAGCAGTCTGTCACAGGTGAATCTGCAGAAGATCAAGGTCATAATAGCTGCTTTAGGTGGTGGGGCTCCAGAGTGGCCATTTGGCTAGAGGCCACTACCAGGGGACAAGTCCTTAAAACCATTTTTCACAGCAGCACACTTCACAAAGTAACTTTGTGGAGGATTCATGGATATTGTGTTCGTTATCTATTGTTGTGTAACAATATCAGCACAGTCTAGTAGCTTAGAACATAACATTTGTTATCTCTCGGTTTCTGTGGGTTGGGACCACACTTTAGCTGGGGCCTCTGCAAAACTGTAAAACAAGGCATTGTCCAGGGATGGGCTCTCATCTGAAGGCTCCGCTGGGGAAGGCCTTAGCTGTTGAGTCACAAGAACTAAATTCTAACGACCACGTGTGCTTGGAAGTGCATCCTTCCCCGGTTGAGCCTTTAGATGATGAGAACCCAGTGCTGGTTGACCTGGATTGCAGCCTCACAGAGGATTCAACTGAGCTGTGTCCAGACTGCTGACTCACAGAACCGTGAGATAGTAAATTTGCTGCTTTAAGCTGCTGAGTTTGTGCTTAAGGGGAGGAGGTTAAAGCCATCTCCCAAAAAATACATTATCAATAATTCTCAGTGAAACCCTATAAAGTAGGAATTTTTGTGTCTGTCTTATAGTTAAAGCAACTGAGGTTCATATGTCACCAATTAAGTGGGGAGCAGGATTCAATTCTAACTTGTGTCCCCCCAAAGCCCATATTCTTTTTTTTTCTTTTGAGACAGAATCTCACTCTGTTGCCTGGGCTAGAGTGCCATGGCATCAGCCTAACTCACAGCAACCTCAAACTCCAAGGCTCAAGCAATCCTCCTTCCTCAGCCTCCTGAGTAGCTGGGACTACAGGCATGCACCACCATGCCCGGCTAATTTTTTCTATATATTTTTAGTTGGCCAATTAATTTCTTTCTATTTTTAGTAGAGATGGGGTCTCACTCTTGCTCAGGCTGGTCTCAAACTTCTGAGCTCAAACAATCCTTCCACCTCGGCCTCCCAGAGTGCTAGGATTATAGGCGTGAGCCACAGTGCCCAGCCCCATATTCTTTTTATCTTAGGATTATGCATCTTCAGAAAGCTTCAAATGAATCTTAAAAACTAAAGGAAAATTGTGTTTCTCTACTCACAACATTTCTGACACCAAACATGTGTGTTTTCCACACCAAGCAATTTTCCAATTCTCTGTAGACATCGACTAGGTGTCCTACAATTTAATTCCATTTCGGCACTAACTACCTGAGTTCAGACCGATCCCACAGGTTAAGAGCCCAGTTCCACAAGACTGTTCGCCACTTCTGATGCCAGTCGCAAGTAGTTACCCAGTTACCCACACTTCTGTCTGACTCGGCAGCAAATTGAGGCTTGCCACAGCTTGCTCCGCAGGTTCAATGATTTGCTATAATGGCTCACAGGATTCAAGGAAACACTTCACTTACATTTATGAGTTTTATGATAAGGGATATTATAAAGGATAAAAATGATCATGCAGATGAAGTGAGGTCTGGAAGGCTTCTGCCCCTGTGGAGTTGGGGTATACCACCCTCTCAGCCTGTGGATGTGTTCACCAAACTGGAAGCTCTCCAAACGCCATAGCTTAGGATTCTTATGAAGGCTCCATCATGCAGGCATGATCAATTATTAACTCAGTATCTATCTCCCCTCCCCAGAGGGTGGAGAAAAGTTCCTTGCACACAATAAATTATTATATGCACATAAACAATTATTATTATTTCAATATTTTACTTTAAAAGACATTTAAATCAAGTGACCCTGTAGAAAAATGTGTGCAACATAGACACGGGACACATAGCAACTGTCCATAGAAGCTCTCCTTATAGAGACCAAATGAAAGGCTCTCTCTGCACTTAGTTCTCCAACAAACCCCTCCTCAAAGCATTCTGTGGGTGTGGATTGAGAGTCACCTTCTCCCCATCTCTTATTAAAAAGCAAATGTATTGAACACATCACAGACCTACTAAATCATTGTACAAACCTATTTCAGATATGACTATGGTAGGCTTAATAAAGGTCCCTGAAGATATCCAGGTTCTATTCACAGGCAACTGTAAATGTTACTTGTATGGCAAAAGAGGCTTTGCACATGTGATTAAGTCAAGGATTTTAGATGGGGAGATTACCTCGGATTATCAGTGTGGGTCCTAAATGTAATCTCATGTGTCCTTTAAAAAAGGAGGCAGGGGGAGATTTGACTGCAGAAGAGGGAAGGATGTGATGATGGAAGTAAGGGATTGGAGTTGTGTGCTTTAAAAACGGAAGAAGGGGCCATGAGCCTAAGAATATAGGCAGCCACTGGAAGCTGAAAAAGGCAAAAAAGCAGATTCTTCCCTGAAGCCTCCAGAAGGAAAACAATTCTGCTAACATCTTGCTTTTAGACTTCTGACCTCCAGAAATATGAATAATAATTTTGTGTTTTTGTAAGCCACCTGGTTTGTGATGATTTGTTAAGGCAACAACAGGATACAGTGTTCAATACAGTGTTCAATTAATGACTTTCCTCCATGGTTGCTTATATATATATGTGTATATATATATATATACACATATATATATAATTTCCTGATGACTCCATTTATTTATTAGCAAAATTTCTTTCAACCCCAAATGCACTAGATACAAATGATATAAAAAGTGATATTTGGGGATTACCATTTTAAGCAAAGATAATTTTCTCCATACAAAATTTCTAGTCAGAGAATACCACATGGAGCAAATCTGAATTGCAGGCTGTATTTGCTTTGTGAACAACAAGTGAGAGGGATGGAAAAAGAGCACCATGTATACCCTTCAGTCAGTTGTACACCTGCACCATTTTCATGCATTTCAAAGCATTCTGGTGTTTTGCCTTTATTTTCCCTTTAAAGCATTTCTTGTATCACATCTTTATTTTAATTGCGATTTGAATGAAAGGAATCATGAGCCCCAAGAAGGGTACAAACTTGGTAAAGAAAATGATTCAAAAGAAGAATATACCTTCCAGAAAATGACTCTCTTCTGCCCATTTTCTATCCACCATCACTCACTGTCAGCACCTAATATTGTGCCACTCCTTTGGGGGGGACAGTGAGCTTTTGCAACATTATATTTTATGTACAAACTACATTTAATCATATTCAAGTTGGTATCGATTACACAAACTTGCTTTCATTGTTCAATTAAAGCAGTTCAGAAAGGGATAGGTGCATGCTGGCAGGCCCAGGAAAATGTTACAAGTTCCTGGCAGAATACTCTAATGAAAATTAATGTCTGAGAATCACTGCTTTAGGGAATAATAGGGGAACATTTATTCCAGATGATCTATCACGTTCCCCAGGCCTTTCCCTTTCAACTGCTAGTGTTTGCAAAGGAAAGGCAAATTCATATTATTTTCATGAGAATATTACAATTATGAGGGAAAAACTGAGATTTTTTTAAATCACATATTAAATTAATTTTTTTTTCTCAATTATCCAGTTGCTCATTCCTTTCCAGTGAGGCAGTTGATTCCAAATAGACTGCAAGTTGGACAATTTCTGGATATTCAGCTTGAAGACATTCATCAGAGTCATTGCTAAATGCTTGTCAAATTTCGGCTAACCTAGATTAGAGAAAGGAGAGAAGAAATGAATAATTCATCCACATACACATGAAATGCAGTGTCTAATCATTTCGTGCACATGCGTGCACACACACACAAACACACACACAACTGGCTCAAATCATCACAACTAGGAAGAGTGGAGCTTCAAATTAGAGTAACTTTGTTTTTGTTTTTATCCCAGCAGTTCTTAGTGCTCCCTTTTTTCATCTGAAAGGCTAAAGAGGTTTTAACCTTTCAGCACTGTTTGGCACTTAGTTAACCACCATTTCATATTGTTTTCTCTTCCCCTCTATGCCACTGCAAGTATTACAGTCTTTAGGGTAACACAGTCTTTCGGGTAAAGTTCATTCATTCATTCACCAAGTATATGAACATCCATTTTTCCATCTAAGAGTAGAGAGAACAGATGTTACCTATTTTGTTACTATGAAGTCAATGCGTGTGCAAAATGTGCACTACTGATGCTAGCACACCGTTGACAACACGGGATACCTATGGTGACCTTTATCTGGAAGGGGCGCTCAGGGTGACAGTGAACAAGATTGGATAGTACCTATACTCACAGACTGCAAATTTAATGAAGAAAGTTGAAGAAAAATTGCATTATGCCACAAAAAGGGATATGACTTGAAAAGTAAGAAATGCTAAAGAGGCACCTAATCTAACCCACCCTTGCACAGCACAGGATGGGCGGGGGCGGTTGCTGCATTAATGTTTGCTGAACCAAAGTCAGCGCTTGCCCTCCACTTCCTGAGAGTCTCGTCATTGATTGTTAGAGACTTATGAGTCATTCTCGACTCTTGAGATGAATAACCATATCTTGGGTTTATTAGCTTCTGGATATGTTTATATAAGAGAGAGAATATTGCAAAATCTTTAATATACAGGCAGAGCTCCTGGCTATCAAGGAAGTACTTCAAGAAATGATGCAGCAAATATATTCAATTTAATGAATATTTATGAAGTACCTACTATTTTCAAGGCATTGAGGTGAATACAAAAATGAATTCAATTGTCCTTGTTTTCACAGGTCTTAAATGCAAGTGTGGGTGTGTATGTAACACTGGGTGGGCAGAAAACAGGAAAAAATGGAGTGGGAACAAGAGAAGAACAAGTTAAAATATGTACATAAAAAATCAAAGAAGGAATTTTCCTCCATAAATGAGGTGGTAGATCAGAGTGTTTATTGAGGAGAGAACAATGAGCTCAGAACAGTGGGAGGTGCTGACAAAACAACAGGTGATATAACCCCTGCAGGTTAGATATTGGCTCTTCCAAGAAGCCCTTCATGCCCACACTCCCCACCCCTGCTAGTCTGGGGAAACCACTCTGCTGGTGTTCTCCTGGCCTCTATGCTAACCCTATATTTGCATTTATCATATTAAATTTCACCTTGCCTTTTACATGTCTGTTATTCTAACTCTCGACATGCCTTGGCATTGCCACCCCGGCACCTAGCAAGGGCGTCTAACCTATGGTAGACACTCCATGTCTTCTTTTGAAAAGCTTCTGTTTATGTCTCTTACTCACTTTTTAATGGGGTTCTTTGTTTTTTCCTTGCTGATTTATTTGAGTTCTTTGTAGAGTCTGGTTATTAGCCTCCTATACAAATAGCTTGTGAATATTTTCTCCCATTTTAAAGGTTGTCTATTTGATCTGTTGATTATTTCCTTAGCTGTGCAGAAGCTTTTTAATTTAATGAAGTCCCATTTATTTATTTTTGTTGTTGCTTTGATTGCCATTGGCAAACATTAAATTTAATTTAATGAAGTCCCATTATTTATTTTGTTGTTGCTTTGATTGCCATTGGCAAAAATTCTTTGCCTAGCCCGATATCTAGAAGAGTTTTTCTAACATTTTCTTCTAGCATTCTTATGGTTCCATGCCTTACATTTAAGTCTTTTTTCTATCTTGAATTAATTTTTGTGAGTGGAGAGAGATATATATGAATCCTGTTGCATTCTTCTGCACATGTCTATCCAATTCTCCCAGTACCATTTACTGAATAGGGCTTTTTTCTCCAGTGTATATTGTTGTATGCTTTGTCAAAGATCAGTTGGCTGTATGTGGATGGTTTTATATCTGAGTTGTCTGTTCTGTTCATTGGTCTATGTCTCTATTTTTGTGCCAATACCATGTTACTTTGGTTATTATAACCTTATTATACTTGTATAGTTTGAAGTCTGGTAATATTATACCTCCAGATTTTTTTATTTTTTTTTTTTGATTATTGCTTTACCTATTCAGGATCATTTCTGGTTCCAAATGAAGCATAGAATTATTTTTTCTAGATCTGTGAAATATGACTTTGGTATTTTGATGGGGATTGCATTGAATATGTACATCATTTTGGTAGTATGGACATTTTAACAATGTTGATTCTACTAATCCATGAGCATGATATGTTTTTCCATTTGTTTGTATCATCCATGATTTCTTTCCTCAGTGTTTCATAGGTCTGTTTATAGAGATCTTTCACCTCCTTGGTTAAGTATGTTCCTAGGTATTTTATTTTCTTGTGGCTATTGCGAGTGGTATTGATATTTTGATTTGACTCCCAGCTTGACTGTTATTGGTGTGTAGGGATCCTATTGATCTGTGTACATTGATTTTGTAACCTGAGACTCTGCTGAATTTACTTATCAACTCCACTCTCTTGGTGGAGCCTTTGGGGTTTTCTAGATACGAGATCATATTGTCAGCAAAAAGTGATAGTTTGACCTTCTCTTTCCTGATTTGGATACCCTTTATTTCTTTCTCTTGCCTGATTGCTCTGACTGTATTTCAGATTAATTGTATATGCCCATCTTAAAACCCAGAGAGAAGGAATTTATATAATTCACATTATCCAACAAACCATAATAATGTTTTCATTTCTGAAAAGTGGGTAACAAAATGGTTCTTTGGATGAAAATCTTTTACATTATTAGTCCAGTCCTGACTAGCGTATCATCACAGCCCATGAGGCTAAGCACACATGCAAACCTGTAGTACTGTTGCATAAAATATACCTCTAGCCTCTGTACGGGCCTACAGACCATCTGCAGGGAGGGAAGTGGGTATCTTAGAAGAGTTTTAAATGAATGTCATTAATTTCAAGGGTCAAAGAATAAGGATTTCTTGGGTTACCTCAAGATCCAATTTTCTAAATATCGGGTTAAACAATACTTAGCTATATCAATTCCCATCCCCAGAAAACTGGAATACGTGCGAATTATGGGAACCATCACTCAACAGTATACTGTAAGTCAGTCAATACTGTAAGTCAGTATTGACTAGAGCCCTAAACAAAATAAATCTTCAATAAACCCCGTTGTGATTTCAGAATTAACAGGAAGATTTCATAAACAGGGAAACAAAGTATCAAGAGTATCATAGTGAATTATAGACCTCGATTTCCCAGGCACAGGAGTTTGCCCCTGGAAGCCATATTGAAGTGAAGGTAATTAACACAGTCCATCTTGCAAGAGGATGATGCCTTGCAGACTGTTTGAAATTCTGTGAGCATCTCACTCGACCCCAGTAACCCTTTGAAATATGCTGAACCATGGCACTCGGCACCCAGGGGGATCATAAAATGAGTAAGAGAGGGCAGAGAAATCACAGTTTGTAACTGAGATCATTTCATGGGCAGTTTGCCAGCTATTTGAGAAACTATAACATAAAGGTCTTCTTAATATGAGGTATTTATAAAATGCAGTGCTATGAATCTATAAAAGTCCATTTAAAATGATTCAAAAGGACACTTCTTTTCTAAGTCCTGCTGCCTTAAAAAATATTTCTATCTATTTTGATATAAGAATTTAGGATGCAGCATGATAATACTATTAGATTTTAGCAGTGACAGAAAGTAGTCTTTAGGATGAACGATCAGGATGTTTCCTGTATGTAGTCATTGACATCTATAAGGCAGCAGAAACCATTCTCAGTATGATATTATGGTCATCCTTGTCCAGACAATGGCAATAACATAGGCAACACTTACCGAACACCTGTGGTGGCTTTGAAATTGCTGGCAAGGCTGAGAAACAATGATTTTGTAGCATCTTAGGTGAGAAAAATAAAATATTTAAAATTTATTTTAAAATGACAAAAATTGGAACAAAATACAGGAATCATAGCAATATTTTTGGAAACAGTTACTTACAAGCTGTAGTTATCAACAATGAGCATATGAAGATGCTGGCTAATATTCCTTCCATAAACCATCTGAAACAACAGGATTGCTCAAGTTTATTTTTTTATTTTTATTTTAAAAAATTTTTATCAATAATATTTGTCACTTTATTTTTTTTTCATTTTTTTAATTTCAGCATATTATGGGGGTACAAATGTTAAGGTTACATACATTGCCCATGGTTTAGTATGCTAATTATGCATTTCCAACCCATGAGATGTTCTTTTAGACTAACTATAGACTTATGATTTCAAGATTTACTAAAACTGCAATAATAAAAATAGTGTGGTATTGACAAAATAATAGACATACAGATCAATGGAGGAGAATGCATCACCTAGAAATAGACACATCCAGACATAGTAAACTGATTTTTAACAGAGGTACAGGAGCAATTCAAAGGAGAAAAGAAAGTATTTTTGACAAATGGTATTGGAACAATCAGATATTCACATGCAAAAGTATGAACCAGCACATATATACCATACCTTATGTAAAACTTAACTTGAAATTGATCATAGACCAAAATGTAAACCATGAAAGTATAAAACTTCTAGAATAAAGGATAGGAGAAAATCTACATGCCCCTGTGTTTGGCAATGAGTTTTGAAATATAGCACCAAATGCACAATCCATGAAATAAAAAATTGATTAATTGGGCCTTATCAAACTTTTTAAAAATTTGCACTATGAATAAGAAAACAAGGTATAGTCTGTGAGGTATTTGCAAATCACATATCTGATAAAGGACTTCTATCCAGAATACATAAAGAACTCTTAAAACTCAACAACAAGAAAATAAGCAACCTGCTTAAAAAATGAGCAAAACATGTGAACAGACAGGTACTTCACCAAAGAAGATATACAGATGGCAAATAAGTGTAAGAACATATGTTCAACATTATTCATCATTAGAGTAATGCAAACTATACTAATGAGACACCATTACACACCCATTAGAATGGCTAAAACCCAAAAAAACTGACAATCCCAAATGCTAGGGAGGATGCAGAGCAACAGGAACTCTCATTCATTGCTTTCAGGAGTGAAAATTGTGCGTTTTGGAAGATAGTTTGGCACTTCCTTACAAAGTTAAACATAAAGTTACCATATAACCCAGCAATTGCAATTCTATGGTATTTACCCAATTGAGTTGAAATGTTACGTCTATACAAAATCCTGAATGTGATTCTTCAGGGAAGATTTACTCAAAATTTTTGAGAACTGGGAACAACCAAGATGTCCTTTAATAGATGAAGGTGTAAACAAACTGTGGTATATCTACAATGTTTTCAAGGTTCATCCACATTGTAGTGTGTATCAGTACTTCATTTTTATGGCTGAATAATATTCCATTGTATAGATAGACCATATTTTTGCTATTTTATTTATTCATTCATCGGTTAATCATTGTTCCCGCTATTAGACCATTATGAATAATGCTGCTATGAGCACAGTTGTACAAGCTTTTGTGTGAACATATGCTTTCATTTCTCTTGGGCAAATACCTAGGAATGGAATTTTGGGGCATATGGTAACTCTCTGTTTAACATTTTTAAGAACTGCTGAAATGCTTTCCAAAAGGACTGCACCATTATACATTCCCAGCAATTTATGAGGGAGATCCAAATTATTCTCATCCTCAACAATGCTTGTTATTGTCTATCTTTTCGGTTAGAGCCATCCTAGTGGGTGTGGTGTGAATATAGCATATTTCCAGCACCCTATAATATTCCCATCTCACTGTAGTTTTGATTTGTATTTCCCCAGTGGCTGATGTTGACCATCTATTCATGCTAAGTGATTGAAACTAGACACAAAAGACCACACATTGTATGCTTCCATTTACATGAACTGTCCAGAATAGACAAATCCCTATGACAGAAAGTAGATTAGTGGTTTTCGGGGTTTGTTGTTGAGTTATGAGAGGGAATGGAGAGTAAGCACTAATGGGTATGGGGTTTCTTTTTTCATGATGGAATTGTTATGAAATTATAGTGGTGATAGTTGCTTTGTGAATATGCTAAGGACCACTAAAAAGTACACTTTAAAAAATAATTTTTTGGAAATATTTAAAAATTCATCAAATACCTTCTACATGTCATTTTATACATGTGCTAGTGTATATGCAAGATGAATTCCTAGAAACGATATGGCCAGGTCAAAGAGGACATGCAATTTTAAATTTGGTAGAAATTGTCAAATATCCATAGCTAGGGAATTTAAGTATAAATTTTTAAAAATTTTACCAGCAATGAAGGAACATGTCTTCTACTTCACAACCTTGCCAAAAAAAAGTGTATTACCAAATATTTGGATTTTTGCTGATCTGAAGGGTGATTTTCTCTATAGGGTAGAGTAAATTTAAAAAAAAATAATGTCTGTACTGTTTTTATTTTCAAAATATGAATCATTGAAAGAGATTACAAATAAATACCAAAAAGAAATGAAAATATCATCAAGAAATCTCACCACCCACAAACAGTAATTACTAAAATCTGATGAAGATCCTTTTAAACATTTCTTTATATGCTACTTTAAAACTCTTTTTCTAAATTGAGCTTTAACATATGTACAATAAAGTATATAAAATACACATGCTGGTTTTGCTTTTTTAACATAAACCCCTATAATTGCCAGCTCAAGATATAGAATATTTCCAGCACCCTATCTTGTTCCTTTTTTGTTTCTTACAGTCTATACCCCCATAATTAACCACTATTAACCACTATTCTTATACCTATAATAACTGATTAGTTTTGCCTTTTCTTGGAGCATCCCTAATCTGAAAAGCTCCAAAATCTGAAACTCTTTGAGTGCCGACTTCATGTGATGGGTGCACAAAATTATTTAAAATATTGTATAAAGTTACCTTCAGCCTAAGAGTATGAGGTGCATATAATATATAAACGAATTTTGTGCTTAGACTTGGGCTCTGTCCCCATACACATAAAATTATGCATATGTAAATATTCTGAAATTCAAAAAAATCCAAAATCCAAAACATTTCTGGTTCCCAGCATTTCAGGTAGGGGATACACAACTTCTTTTTTTTTTTTTTTTTTTTTTTTTATTTCGGCATATTATGGGGGTACAGATTTTAAAGTTTCAATAAATGTCCTTCCCCCCTCCCCCCACAAGTGATACACAACTTCTATGTGTGATCATACAAACCCTCATGTCTGTCGTCTGTCACAGACATATCTGTGAGAAAATTCCATGCTCTTATAATCTTTTTTACTTAAATAACTTTTTTATTTAAAATAATTTATTTATGCAGAGAAATTTCAAAATGCAGTGCAGAGGGTTCTCATGTGGGCCTCAGTCATCTTCCTCTACTACCAACATTTTATATTACTTTGGGACATTTTTCTCCATTAAGCAAACAACATTGGTACATTACTGTTATCTCAACTCTGCATTTCCTTTGGATTTTTCAGTTTTTTCCTTTTTCTGTTCCAGGATCCCACCAAGGCTACCACATTACAGTTAGTCATCCTGTCTCCTTAGGTTCCTCGGGGCCGTGACAGTTTGTCAGCCTCTCCTTGGTTTTAATGATCTTTACACTTTCGAGGAGTTCTAACCAGATAACGTGATGAATGGCCCTCCATGTGAATTTTTCTGCTACTTTCCCCATGGTTAGACTGAGGTTTGGAAGACCACAGAGGTGAAGTGCAACACTCACCAGGTTGCATCCAGGGTAATGCAATCAGCATAACTTATCACTGCTGATGCTGACTTGCTCACTGAGGTAGTATTTGCTCAGTTTCACGATTGCAAGTTTACCTTTTGTCCTCTGTTTCCATACTTTTTGGAAGCAAGTTTCTAAATGTAGCTCACACTCAAGGGATTGAGAGTTAAGCTCCACTGCTTAAGGGGGGAGTATTTACAAAAACTAACTTAGGGAACATTTCATTAATAGTTCTGTGAAATAAAAGAGAGAAGTCCACGATCAACTTGGAGGTTTGGAAAACACTAAGTGAAATAAAGCTGAACATGTTCTTCACTACACTCTTTCACTGAGCCTCTATTATACTAACGCACATTATGATCTTCCAACTTGGAATATAGAATGCAGAATTTTGCAAATTTATTTTTAACCATAGGACCTCCCCCTTTTGTTCTTTTGGTCCCATTGTGATCTAAAAATGCTTTTCAAACCCCATAATTATCTGGAAAGCTATTTTGAAGCATTGACTCTCACTAGATCTAAATTAGTATCTCAAGAGATGGGATCTAGGACTTTGTATCTAAAAAAGCAACTCCCCCAAGTGGTGCTGAGGTATTTGACCCTCAGTAGGTGGGATTTGAGCAGGTAGCACTTACTGGCGAGAATTCAAGGACCATAAAGACCTCCAGACTGAACTATTTAGCCTTGCTTCATTGACACAACAAATATCAATGAACCCCAGCACTGAGGATAGAGCAGTGAGGGGGACACACAGTGAATGTCTCTGCTCTCAGGTAGTTCACATCCTTGAAGGGAGAGATAGATCTCTGATGTTTAAACAAGTGAACATATAACAGGTTAGGGGTGATAAGTGCTCTGAAAAAAGGAAAAACAAGGTGCATGTGACAGAGTGGTATGCTATTTACACAGGGTTGTCAGGGCAGGGCTCTCTGATGATGTGACATTTTAACAGATTCCAGAAAGAAGTAGGGTCACATGGTATGAGGCTATCTGCAGAAGGCTTGTACAAGGCAGAGTAAGCAGCAAGTGCAAAGGCCCTGAGGCACAAGTGGGCTTAGCACCAAGGAGCATCATCACCATCCTGGAGATTTGGGCAAGGAAAGGAGAAGGAGGCAGAGGAAGGACATGCAGGACAGAGGAGAAAGCAGAAACATGCTTATAATAAGGCATGAAAGGACCCTTTACGTTAGGATATGCAAATATAGAGGGAAAGGTGGAGTCTTAGCACAGACTCCAAGCACCCTTGAACTCCAGATGATGTGCTTAGACAATACCTATAACAGGAGTCACTGGAGCTTTACACAAAGGATGATACATGGTAAAATCCAATTTTAAGCAAGATGCACTGGCTTTTGTATGCTTTGTAAGAAGATGGGAGGAGGTTGGTGTGAGATAAAAGGCTGCTTATCATGAATAGACAAACGAATCAATCTTAACTACAGAGCTACCTAAAAATTTCTGTGGAAATATGCAAGGAAGTCATCAACCAATTACAGCTTTGGTAAGTATGAAATCCCACTGCATGAAAATAAAATCTGAATTACCTTGCACATGCAAAAATGATTAAGCACACAGCAAGCAGGATTGCCAGAAAGGAGAGCTCTCGCAACAAACTGGTTTCTAATAGAAAGAACAAAAATAAATGAATTAGAAATCGTTGCTGGTTAAATAATCTTGGAATAACAAAATCATACTAAAACTTATCTTCTACACATCAAAAAAATAGTTTTCAAATGTACTTCAGTTTAAGCAATTTGGTATAAATAACAAAAATAATATCACCTAATGGTATACAGGGTCATTCATCAGAAAATTTCCTCAATTTCTATCAGTTTCTTCTATCATTATAAAATAAAAGACTATGCTATTTATACAGTTTGGGGCTTGCCTTTTGCTTTAGCATTGGGGAAAATCTTTGTAGAGTTTATGCTAATGTCAGAAATATAACTCTGGTGAAGATGATAACAGTGATAATAATGCTTAAAATTTGCAGAGTGCCTTATAATTCACAAAGAGCTTTCATTCATGAGTTCGTTTAATCAGCACAGCAACCGTGTGAGGCAGGTACCATTTTCTAAGTTTTGCAACTGAGAAGACCAAGACTGAGAGAAATGATGAAATTGTCCAAGGTCACACAGCTACGAGTTGTCAGAGCCAAGATGTAAAAACCACATCTAGACGGAACATAATGTTTTGTCTGAAGTGGGGCAAGGATGGGCAATTGCAACTTTGCATATCAAAAGTCTCTAAGGACGGAAAAAGAGAACATATATTATGAAATGTTCCTCTTTGCAAAACTCTTTGCAATCAGTAAAATATTTCAGTGCTGTCAAGCTACAATAGAAACTACAAATCCTCCACCAATTATAAAAGTAAGAGTTAAATCAATCATGAACCTGACTATTACTCTAATTATCTCAAAGAAATCAGAGCCAGCTTAAGGATTACTTCATAAAGACCTAAAGAAGAGTATAAACAGATCTCAACTTAATTTTTGCCAAATGCTTCAATAGCTCAATTTTGCAATGCAATAGTTGTTTAAAACTTGGAATGACTTTATGCTATGAATGCATTTATTTTTGATATTTATGTTATGAATGAAGATTGAGTCGGTCAACAAAACCTATCTAGCCACAATGCGGGTGGAATACCGAAGATTGGCAATTCAAAACATTGCAGTAGTAAATATTGTGACTGAAAATGTACAGTATTCTATGTACACTGTGAACTTAGTGTGTTATTGTAAGTTCAATTGAACACTCAACCACCCTTCTAAAGTATGTTTCTATTCTTAGCCTCTCCCAGTTTCATGTGGAATTTGGAAAACATTTCCTCATAGAAACAAATCCAGCTTGAAAAATTACAAAGAGCACTAGACTTGGATATTGAAGCATGAATGGGTTTAAACTTGAGTTCTACAAAGATATGAGTTGTGTGATTTGGGGTGAGTTATTTGCTGATTCCTTCCTTCAGTAGCCATTTATTTATGCCCTATTTGGGTTCAGCTCAAGTGTAACCTCCTTCAGGAAGCCTATTGCGATTTCTTCAGCTCCTCCCTAGCTCTTTGCTGTTCCTTCCCTATGCTGTCATTGTACCGTGCTCCTGTCTTCATTAGTTCTCTTTTCACACTGGTAAAATTTCTGTTGTTTTTCTCTATATTTCCCTACTAGACTGCAAGCTTGTTGGAAACAGCCATCTATTTCCTGATCTCTGGGGGCAGTGCCCATATATTCCTTGGGGAATCTCCTCTCTCCCTTCTCTTTGTTTAAGGTTTAGGTGGAGTGATTGATTTCTCTGATTTCCCTCCCAGCACTTGATTTCTTCCAAGCCTTTTGGAGTTTCACATACTTATTGACAAAATTTTGTCGATATAAATGGAGGACTTCCAGAACCAATAAATCTCAATTCTGGGCTTCTTATCATAAGTCTAGACATATACGATCTCTTTCTCATGAACTGAAAAAAAGGCAACCAAAGAGACTGACATGATCCTGAACTCTATGCCTGGAATTTTCACTAATATGAGTCAATAAATTTGACTATTGATCAATTCACTTTGAGATGGGTTTCCATCCATTGGAACTCAAAAAGCTCTGACTGATATAGATGATGTTGTACACTATTATAGGGTTAGCACCTGAAACATTACCTGGAACAGAATACACACAAAAAACCTACATGTGAAGGACTTAACTGAAGAGGGAGACCTTGTCCACTCAGGACTTCATAGCCTAGTGAGGAAGAGTAAAAAAAATAGTTTCAATAGAGGCACATGCAGACAGCAAAGGGATCATGGGAAGTAAAGCGCTGCCTCCACCAGCCAGCAGGGGACAGAGCTGGCTACAGAAGTGGTGCTATCTAATTTGAGCCTTGAGGAAGAGTAGGGGCCATCAGGTATAGCAGGTAGGTGAGAGAAGCATTCCAGACACAGCAAAGAGTGTGTATTTGTTCTTACTAAACTCTGCAACGAGTACAAAGGCTCACCTGACCTGTCTGAATTTCAGTATTCTTATCTGTAAAATGGAGGAAGCATGCTTATTAACTGGTCTACCAATAATCTGCTCTGTGCCTATGTGGGCAGTTTGGAATTAGTTCACAAACTGCCCTACAGTGCCCATCTCTAAGGAACTCATGGCCTGATGGGGGAGACATGGAGGTAAACATGCAACAGCAATGCAGAGAGTGGGTGTGAGAGAGAAGAGCCCTGGGACCAGGGCACACCATGAAGGGTGTACTCCCTGGAGGAGTTGGCTGTCGAGCCATCATAGGTGTTGATAACCCAGAAACCATCAATAAAACAATCAACTATAGAAACTATCAACTAAACAATAAAACCTGCATTCTCTTTCATCCCAACACCTGGAAAGGGAACTAAACCAAACCAAAACAAACAAAAAACACCCTTTAACATTTATCTAATAGCTATACTGGGGAAATAAAGATACAGAGCATATTGGTCTTTGGGAATAGAAGAGTGATGGCCAGTGAAATGAATATTCATGATGCTGTGAAAGCAAATAAGTAGAGAACATTATTTTTTCATTTAACCTCAATCTTACGTAATAACAACTTCACATTTATTGAATATTCAATAGACATGACACAGTATGCTAAGTGCTTCACATGAGTTATTTTCGTCATTACAAGACAGGAACTATGAAGATCTCCATGTAGAAAGGAAAATGTTAAGTTTGAGAGAATTTGGTAACTTGCTTCTGAGTTACAGCTAAAGAGTGGGGAGATGGGCTTTGAATCTCGGTTGATGACAAGCTGATGACAGAACTTCGGCCTGATGCAACATCAGGTCCAAACACGATTAACCTAATATCAGCAAGCAAGAGATTATGGGCCATGCTTGTTGAACTCATTCCAGATTTACTCCTCACAGGAAATGACAATACCTTTATATCTTTTGACTTTTCCTTGCCAGGGGCATAACATTAAGGGATATTCTTGTCTTCTTTGCTTTCTTTCTTTTTTTCTTCTTATGTAGTATGTCAAATACATAGCTAAATATTAAGAGTAAAATAGTAGACACCTATGTACTCTCTTCTCTGCTTTAGTAAGGCCTAACATTTTACCAAATGTTTTCAGGGTTTCTAAAGAATAAAACAGCACAGACCCAGGGCACAGATGACACCGAGAGGCAGTCACCTCCTCTGCGAAGGTGGCACATGGGACCTGGCAGAGGCCCGTGTCCCCCTCCTCACACAGGTTCGTACCAGTTCCTAAGAGCACATTAGTCATCTCCAAGTCACCCTCAGGCGCCAAAAGGAAGGCTTTTGTGGGTGTGGCAAAGATTAAAAGAACAAAGCAAAACAGAAAAACCTGAACTCACTTGGATGATCCCAAATGTTCTCTTGGAAATGTTCAGATGCCATCAACGGAGACTGAAGAGAGGAATCATGGGACTTTTCCCCGGGAGGCTGGGATACGACGTGGCTGGAGGAGAAGGTTACCGCAGTCTCTGCATTCGGCATCTCTGGCTCCCAGGCATCACCCAGAGAAAAACAGTCAACGTCACCTCCTGGAAAAGCAGAAGGATTCAGAATGTGTCTGTGTATGTGTGTGTGTGCGTGTGTGTGCATGCTTGTACACACTCACATGCATGCGTGCACGGTGTTCAGTGACTATTCAATGCATGATCCAGAATAACCACAACAATAGCAACACGAATACACTATTGGAGGAGGATGGGAGAAGGATGTCTGGCTTAGATGGCATTTCAATTGTCCTCATCTTTGAAGGTTGAAGAGAAGTATCTTCAATGCAGAAATAGAGGCTGGGGGCATCCCCAAGTGGTGTTGGAGTTGTATGAATGGATCTAAAGGATGTGCAGTGGGTATATGAGGCTCACATCTTTATAGCACCAGGCTTTAGAGCGGAGTCAACTCCTTTGAGTTCTACTCCATTTATTCATTCATTCAATATTTATTGAATGTGACTATGTATCAGAAGCTGACCTAGCTGCTGGGAAACAACGGCGGATTAGACTGAGATCTCTGCCTTCCTGTGGCTTACATTCTTGGGGGGGGGTGCGGTAATTTTCTTCTTAGGGCAGTGGAACATCTTGCATGTGTGAAGAAATTCTTCCTCTATAGAATACATTGGAATGCTAGACAAAATATAGCAAACATACATTTATATATTTTTTTCATTCAAAAAGGCTATTTTATACATACATAGTTTCAAGAACATGAGCCCATTTTCTTTTATGATGGTTCATACATAAATATATTTTACTGGCCCTAAAGTTAACCTGACATTCTGTACAAAAAAAAAAAAAAAGTCAAGTTCATCTGAAAAGCATGCATGCAACATCAAGTTTTAAACTTGGTAAAATAATTACTAGTGAAAATTGATGTCTTCAATGTAGGGTCACCAAAGAATGATATTTAATCCTTGATTCTTGACTTGAGTCAGGAACTAAAGGGTCCAAAACTCCCCAAGCCAAAGCTTCATTGGAAAGGATGGATTGTTAAAAATATCTTTCAACCACAGGGAAAGTTAAGCACTGTACCTTTGACTCAACCCTGGTAGTCTCCCACTTGGTTCATCTGGCATAAATATGCCTACAAATTCTCTTGGTTCTGTCTTTGGTGATCTGTGTGGTATCCACCCAAGGTTTAACTTTGCTCCTGTGCCCTTTGGCTAATAATTTGAACCAGTTTACAGCTCACTGACTTGGAGGCAAAGTCACTCAGGAACAGTAGCCAGAAGTCCTGCCTTGGGATATATGTGTTTCCTAGACTGGTGTCTAAAAAATGGCACATACCCATCAAATGTTTTCTAACTCTGTAAGTGAGCTCAAAAGAAGGGGATAGTCCCAGAGACCACAGCTAGGAAACCTAGAACTTTAAAGATGAACTATAGCTAGGCCTGCCCTGAGAGGTGGACAGGGGGACTTAGAGAAGCCATAGTAACCAGAGGTCTGTGGTTTAAATGGCACTATAGGGACACAGAAAAGGCCTTGGTCTCAAGAGAGGCAGAAAGCTGAAACTGAGCCCCTGCGGAAGTTCAAAATGCAACTACTATTTCTGAGAGAGGGCATGAAAGTTTATCTATTTTGGCATAGGGAGTGAGTGGGAGGAAAATTTCTCCTCTAACATTTTATAAATGAGTTTTGAGTTAAAATGTATACTAATCTGAAAAGTTAGTATTTTAAAAAGTCTCGGGCTAGTCCTAGCCCTGTGCTGTCTGCCAGAAGCCAATGTAAAAGCTCGGTATAGAAACACATCCTCAGCCCGATCTGCCAGATTTCCTCCGATAAAGCCCAAGGGACATGAGCTCACAGTCCACAACTATGAATTACGCAGGGAGATGACCTTCCGAGGGTAAGGAGAATAAATATGGTGTTTGCGGAAGAAGATGATCCTGCCCTGGGAGATGATTGGGTGGCCATGAGGTTACTGCCTGGCTTTAAGCATTGAGCAGTGAGTACGGTGTTTGGGGAAATTGCTCTAATTTGCTTTACTTTGGGGTAACTATGAAAGGGATCTGCAAACTTTAATTTTTTCCCACCCATATGATCTCCTTATTTTTACTTCTTATCTAAATAGGACAATTGTTTCTATGGCCTGTTTGAGTCTTACCTTCATGACTAAGGGAAATACTCAAATCAACTGGAAAAATATTTACCAAACTCATACACTGTAGGACACTTAGCTAGATGAGAGGGATACATGGGAAAATGAGACACAGTTCCTCAAAAGAGGTTAAATCCTAGGGGTGTGTGTGTGTGTGTGTGTGTTTGTTCATGCACATGAGCCACCAGCAGGAGGCAGTAAGGAGGACACCGCTCATGAATAGGGAATACATGTACATAGATATCACCTGTTAAAAAGAAACAAAATGTACTTTGTTGGAAACTTAGAGGACTTGGGCTTCAAAGAGATTGGAACATGAATCCTAGTAATAGTAAAACAGGGCAATTTGCTTCGTTTTTCTGACCCTGAATTTCTTCATCTGTAAAATAGGACAATGGCATTTACTGTTAGAGTTGTTGTGATAATTGCATGAGACAAGAAAAAAGTGCAAACATCCTGACACATAGTAAAGAAGGAGGGAACTGGGCCGTCTATCATGAACAGGCATTATACTAGATACACTTCCTAGTTCTATGACCAAATGGATAGTCAACTCCATGGTGAGGTGGGAGGGTGCCAACCATCATCAAGGCATGTTTCAGGATGGAAGGAATTCTTAAGAATTTAACAACCTATAATAAAAGGAGCTTATTACTTGACGTTAGGAAAGAGCATTTTTTACTGTGAAGTGGATATATAGAAAATGGCTATACCATGAAGGATTCCTTAACCTGTTCCTAGACATTTCTAGGTAGAGTGCTTATCCCATATAGCTGCTTTATTCTCTTGGCTTCACTGTGTAACAAGGCCCCTTCTTCTAGAAAGTTCCCCAGGGAAGGGAAAGGACTGTGGCCTCTGCCACCTTCCCCTTTGCAGAGCTGAATACACATAGCAAGAGGGTCTCTGGGAAAGACAAACTTTACCTGTGGTGGGGAATAGTCTCAGCTTCTGAAGGTTTAGAGATAAGGACAAAAGGGCAGAGGAGAAGAAACGAAGGGGCCAAGGTTATTTTTACCTTGTGCAGGAGAAACTTCAAGAGAAAGAAGCAGGAGAATATTAGCAGCACCAATTGATAAATAGCAAGGCTTCCTCTGCTTTAAGGTCTGCCATGCGATGTCTGGAGCATAGAATGATTAAGGAAAGGTACCAGCAAGGAGGAATGACTTGGGCAGCCCACAGGTGACATCCCCAGAGAAGACCCCATGCCAGAAGATGTGGGGAAATGGAGCAAGAGTAGAGGAGTAGGCAAAATCTGCCTGGATACAGACCAGGCAGATCTATTAATATTTATTCATTCAATGCAGAGTTATTGTAGATACCGCACACATTGTACTGTGCAAGGAGCTGGAAGAATGAAGTCAAATTAGATACTGCTGTGCCCTACTCGTGGTCTGGACAGGGACAGACATGCAAGGGAGCAACTGGAATACAATGAGGTCATTGTTGTGATGAAGGCTGGCATGAGTTGCCCAGTGGGAGTCTAGGAAGGAGGCTAAGTCTGTCTGAGTGAATCCAGGCAGGCTTTCCAGAGGAGGCAGTACTTAAGTGGGAACCTGAAGGATGAGTAGGAGTTCTTCTAGAGAGGCAGCAGGAAGAGGAGGGGCCAGGCAGAGACAAGAGGAGGAAGGGGAGGAAGAGGACAAGGAGGGAGAAGTGAGTTTTCTGATATGGCTAGACAGGAGCCTGTGCTGGGTGGGGAGTTCCAAGAGATGATTCTGGCTGGACTACTGGGAAGAGGCCAAATCATGAGGGGCCTCATGTCACACTCTGGAGCTAAGGTTTGCTCTGTGGGCAATTTGGAGTCATTAAAGAATTTTGAGCATGAATGTCATTAAAGAATGTTGAGCGTGAATGTCACATGAGAAGCTTTGTACACTAAAATTCTCACTCTACAGTGTGAGCTTTGAGAGAGTCCCAGTACTCCATTTCAGGAGCTGGGCAGCTGTGGCAATCCAGGAGACACTTGGGGTCTTTATTAACTACGTCTCTTAATGGGGACAGCATTCTCCTCCCAGGGGCCATTTGGCAATATCTGGAGACGTATTTGGTTGTCGCAACTTGGGGTGGAGGGAGGGGTTCTGCGAGCATCTAGTGAACAGAGGCCAGGGATGCTACTAAACATCCTATAATGTACAGGAGAGTTGCCACAAAGAAAAATCATCTGGCCCCAAATATGCATAATGCTGAGGTTGAGAAACTTGTCATTGAGAGAGCAGACTTAAATCTACACAGTGTCTTGATCACTAGACTTCTTTCAACGATTCTGGTGTTTAAAGTAGGGATTATGGGTCTGCATTTTCCTGGTCGTGTTTACTCTCATCAAAACACCTGCTTTCTGCCTTCATAGGACAGATTGCAATTCATGATTTTATAATTAATACATAAACACAGACTATAGAATATGTAATTTGTATGATTTTTGCTTAATGTATACCTCCCTGACTTGACTAAAATCTCCATGAGGAAAAGGTCACCTCATCTGTCCCAGGCACCAGCAATTAGTAGGGCCTGTTATAACAGGGCTCTAGTAACCATAGAGATGGTGGGTCACTTACCCCTCCCCTCCCCGGTGGAGGCTGGGGCCGACCTAACACTGAGACTTCAAGTGAGGGGCGTGGCCTCCTTGCCCAGACCATTGGACCGACTCTACCTGTGGTCCCACCCAGCCTGGATACTGAGCTAATGAGCTGGTGCTTTTGAACCTGGAAATTGCACCAGCCCTGCAGGTTTCCTCAGGTCATCCTTCCCTTAACTTTTGGCCACTTGACAAAGCAGTCTGTGGAAGCATTCCTGCTGGTTGCCAGAGAGAAAGGAAGGAGCAGAAAGTGAAACATCAAGATCCTCCAGGAAGTGAAACATGCAGATCGACCAGGCTGCAGAGAAGGTCCTGGACCATGAGTGTGGCTGCACTGTGCACAAGAGCCAAGCTGTGGAAACAACT